CAGACCTGTTATTCTCTATGATAATGTTAAAAATTACGAAAATAAAAATACAAATGATTTTTAGGCACTAGCACATCAAAGAGGATGTTAAAAATTTTAAAATATGTATAACAAACGGTCAAAGTCAAAGACAAAAGTTGCGTTCGGATGAAGCCTATCTATTATTTCTTTGTTTTGTAGCAAACAGAAAGTAAACAAACAAATAACACCAAACATATAGCACAATAGACAATTACCTACAGTTTGTAGAGGCTGGATGTATTGTTTAACTGCTCAGGGGAGCAGCCACAGGGACGGAGCGAACTGCTGAGTTGCCAACAACCTTTTACACCAAGGCGCGGCAAATCCAGTGCCTGATTTAGACCTGTGGAGGCCCATGGGCAGCCTCTTTGTGGAGGCCCCCTCATTATAACTACCGAAGAGGGTGGGGTGGCGAGTGAAGTGAGTCTAAACATCTGGGCGCTGTAAGCCCCCCGGGAAATTTTTGAAATTTGAACACTTCTTTGGAGAATTTTGAAGCCATTTGCAGTTATATTGAGGAAATTAGAACATTGAGAAATTTTTAAATAACTGTATATTTATTGATAGTGTACAAATTCCCAACACACACACACACACACAAAAGTGAGACATGACTGGAGTCATTCATGTGGTTTCAAGTCGACCAGCCCTGATATAGCCTACTGTAGCTACTACCGCACATGTCAAAAATTTTCTAGAGACTTCACAGAAAAGAATATATCATTAGTTATTACAGAGAGATGATTCTTTGCATTATTAATCAGATAAACCTCTACTCAAATAATGGTTCTGTCCAAAAATGCATGTATAGGCTTCTTTAAGTCCAAGGTCAGATAGATTCAGAAAAAGTATTAACGCAACTATAAATAAAATTGAAGTTTTGCATCTAATAGTAAAACAAATAAACAATTTAATGAATTTGATAAAATTATAACAAAAGTAAGAACATGTTGGAAAAAACAAGAATTTTAATAAAAATAACTGCCATCGACCATGGATAATGGATTTATTGAACACAAACATTAAACAGACAATAAACATTACCTTTATTTACAGACCAGGCATTTTACGTGACCTGGCCACTGCAAAGTTTTTCATCAACTTTTCGAAGTCAATCTCTCTGAGGATGTCATATTCGATACTCATCAAAGCCAGGTGGCTGAGCCTATCATGACACATTGTAGTACGAAGTCTGTTTTAAATAAACTTCATTTTACTGAAAGAACGTTCTCCAGAACAATTTGTGACCATGAGCACCAAGTACATCCGTAGTATTATTTCAACATTTGGAAATGTATCTACAACTTTCTTGTCTATCAACAGCTTGTAAAGGTAATGTGCCCTCCCTTTCTCATCATCTTCGTCTTCAAGAAATTGAGTGAAGAATGCTGTAAACTGCACAAGTTCAACTCCAAGTGTTTGATCCAAATCATTTTTGTACTCAGCAACCAATTTTGCTGCAGCTGCATCAATTTCGTCACAATTCATTGACTCCAGTTTAGACAAGAACCCGAAAAGTGAGCACGTTTCCTCATAGGCCTTTAACCGTTGATCCAGTGAACTCAGGAACTGATCAATTGCTGGAAGGAAATTCTGAACCCGAAATTTGTCTGACTGTGAGAGGGCTGCTTCTTCTGATCGTCCATAATCCAATGGATTGAGTCGTACATTACGTTGACGCTTGCGTGTCTGTGAATAATCCCCAGTTTCTGATATTTCCCTTCCCTTCTCATAAACATGGCATTGGCTTCATAACATGTTTTGCTCGTCTCATTTTCATCTCTAGCTATTTTATCAAGTGCTTCACGGATTGGAAGATAACCTTGGACAACTGCTTTCACTGCAGTTTGTGGAATTCTAAATATATTATTAGCAACACAAACAATAGCATTCATTAAAAATATGCGGTTCATAGGAAAACCAGGTATTCATGAATTTCAAGGAGGAGATAGCCTAATTTCTATCACGCTTCTTGCTGAACATAGTTTTACGTGATGGAAAAGATAAACATGAATTTTAAAGAATGAAAATAAAAATAATCCAAATGCATAAACAAATAAATAAAATATTGTAATATGTGGAGGCCCCTGGGCAGCTGCCCACTTTGCCCACTCCTGAATCCGGCCCTGGGCAAATCTATCAGCTGCTAGTAGTAATAATAATAATAATAATAATAATAATAATAATCAACGGTTTATTGAAAGAACATGGCAGCCGGAAGGCTGAAAATATACAATTACGTAATTGGGGAATGGTTCTCTTGATTTACAAATGATGTACAAGTAACATAAGTGATGCAAATATGATATATAATAATTAGGTGTTGATAATTTTTACAAAGGTTGGGACTGCGCTGTTCTTGTAGCAGTCAGTTCGTGCTCATATGGGCTGGATGCGGTTGGGCAGGTGTGTGGCCACATGGCCAGGACAGTAGCTTGGGGCAATGCAGGTGTGCTCCATCTTTCAGGTTAGGTCAGGTGAAGCCGTGAGGTCAGGTTAGATCCAGCCACAATCAGTATTGCTGTGTTTTTGTACTTTTCCTTCGAGTTGAAATTGCCACTTTTGTATATTACTTGTGGGTTAATCGTCAATCTTTGCACTGTACTGTTGGTGTGAGGACGTTGATAAATCCAGATGGGAAGGAGGAGATGGGGGACGGGAGGGCCAGACACACCGGGCTGGCAGCTGTCTCCATGATCAAGAGACCACGGCCGCGTGAGCGGGCAGCGCCGACTACACACGTCCTTACCCTATGAAGGCTGAGAACATATAAGAACATAAGAAAATAAGGAGTCTGCAATAGGCCGGTTGGCCTGTGCATGGCAGCTCCTGTCGAGAGTTACTACCACTCTCTATCATCCATGAATCTATCTAGCCTCCTTTTGAAACTTTCCAGAGTTCCCGCACTTACTACAAAGTTGCTAAGCTTGTTCCACTCGTCCACCACCCTATTTGTGAACCAGTTCCTTCCTATCTCCTTCCTAAACCTAAACTTATCCAACTTGAATCCGTTGCTCCGAGTCCTACCCTGCTCGGATATTATAAGAACTTTATTTATATCCCCTTTATTGATTCCTTTCACCCACTTAAATACTTCTATCGTATCTCCCCGCACTCTTCGTCTTTCTAGGGAATGCAAGTTAAGTTTCTTTAACCTATCCTGATATGGAAGGTTTCTAAGTCCCGGAATCATTTTTGTCATTCTTCGCTGCACCGACTCTAGTGAATTTATATCCATTCTATAATAGGGGCACCAGAACTGAACCGCATAATTGAGGTGCGGCCTGACTAGCTCAAGATATAGTTGCAATAAGACCTCTGCACTCTTGTTACTTACACTTCTAGATATAAAACCCAATACTCTGTTTGCCTTATTTCGAACATTAACGCACTGTTTTCTAGGCCGTAGGTCCGGGCTTACAAGTACCCCTAGGTCTCTTTCACAAGTCGACTTCTCTAGGTTGATGTTGTTAAGGCTGTATACATTATAAGTATTTGTTCTTCCAATATTAAGTACGCTGCACTTGCTGGTGATGAATTTAATTTGCCATTTTTCAGACCACCCCTGCAGTTTATTTAGATCCTCCTGTAATGCGTTTGCATCCTGCCCTGAATTAATTTGCCGCCCTATTTTGATGTCATCCGCAAACTTGCTTATGTCACTGCTGATCCCAGTATCTAAATCGTTTATGTAGATTATGAACAAGAGTGGGCCTAGTACTGACCCCTGGGGAACCCCACTGGTTACACGGCCCCACTCAGATTTAACACCATCTACGCTGACCTTCTGTGTTCTATCGGTGAGCCATGATTTTATCCAATTTAAAACTTTCCCCTCGATACCATGAGCCTTAATTTTTCTCAGAAGCCTCTGATGCGGTACTCTGTCAAATGCTTTGCTAAAGTCTAAGTAAATAACATCGTAATTTTCGTCATTATCTACTACCTCGAAGACTTTCCTAAAAAACGTTAGCAGATTTGTTAGACAAGATTTTCCTTTGTAAACCCATGTTGAGAGTCGTAGATTAATTTGCTTTTCTCTAGATGCGATCGGATGCTATCTGCTATAATTGATTCAAGAAATTTCCCCACTACTGACGTCAAACTGATCGGCCGGTAATTTGACGCTGATGCTCTGTCTCCCTTTTTGAATATGGGTATACATTTGCCTGTTTCCACAAGTCTGGCACAACTCCAGTGTCTAATGATTTTGTAAATAAGTTTACGAGGGACCCGCTAATCTGTTCCCTACACTATATATATATATATATATATATATATATATATATATATATATATATATATATATATATATATATATATATATATATATATATATATATATTTATATATATATTTCATGTAGATCCACAATGAAAACGTGGATAAGATAAAACTTGATAAAATCACACGGGAAAAGGGAAACAACGTAGCACCTTAAGTTTCGTCTTTATTCAAGACATCTTTTCCCGTGTGATTTTATCAAGATATACATATGTTGAATAAAGATGTCTTGAATAAAGACGAAAGCTAAGGTGCTCCGTTGTTTCCCTTTTCCCGTGTGATTTTATCAAGATTTATCTTATCCACGTAATGTGGATCTACATGAAATATATATATATATATATATATATATATATATATATATATATATATATATATATATATATATATATATATATATATATATATATATATATATATATATATATATATATATATATATGTGTGTATATTGATAAAATCACACGGAAAAAGGAAACCATGGAGCACCTTAGCTTTCGTCTTTATTCAAGACATCTTCAGAGGCAACTGAATTACAAAGACTGAGAGAGAGCTTATGTACATGAGGTCAGGTCGTGAATGTTTCTATGTTTGTTTACATTTAGAAGTTAGATTCGTAAACTGTCTGGGAAGAATTTCGTGTCTTTCGTTTGTGAGTTTATGGTTTAATAATGAATGTTGTATGTATTCCTCAGCCATATTGGAGAGAAGACATCCCCATCATCATTATGGCTGGTAACAGGACCCGATATTTTTACAGGTAAGACATGACCCGCTATTTCTACTGGTAAGACATGACCCGTTATTTCTACAGGTAAGTGAAGCACAACCTATTATATTTACAAGTGTGGTAGAAACAATGCGACCAGTGCCATCTTCTTATGTCTGTCTATAGCTTTCTCTTTCCATCTCTCTATATGTTTGTTACTCTGTGTTTCTGTCTGTCTTTATGTCCATTAATGTGTTAATGTCTAGATCTGCCCATGTGTCTATCAGTCTATGTGTCTATAAGAACATAAGAACATAAGGAGTCTGCAATAGGCCGGTTGGCCTGTGCATGGCAGCTCCTGTCGAGTTACTACCATTCTATCATCCATGAATCTATCTAGCCTCCTTTTGAAACTTTCCAGAGTTCCAGCACTTACTACAAACTTGCTAAGCTTGTTCCAATCGTCCACCACCCTATTTGTGAACCAGTTCCTTCCTATTTCCCTCCTAAACCTAAACTCACCCAACTTAAAACCGTTGCTCCGAGTCCTGTCCTGCTCGGATATTATAAGAACTTTATCTATATCCCCTTTATTGATTCCTTTCACCCACTTAAATACTTCTATCATATCTCCCCGCACTCTTCGTCTTTCTAGAGAATGCAAGTTAAGTTTCTTTAACCTATCCTTATATGGAAGGTTTCTAAGTCCCGGAATCATTTTTGTCATTCTTCGCGGCACTGACTCTAGTGAATTAATATCCATTCTATAATAAAGGCACCAGAACTGAACCGCATAATCGAGGTGAGGCCTGACTAGCGCAAGATATAGTTGCAATAAGACCTCTGCACTCTTATTACTTACACTTCTAGATATAAAACCCAATACTCTGTTTGCCTTATTTCGAACATTAACGCACTGTTTTCTAGGCTGTAGGTCCGGGCTTACAAGTACCCCTAGGTCTCTTTCACTAGTCGACTTCTCTAGGTTGATGTTGTTGAGGCTGTATACATTGTCAGTATTTGTTCTTCCAATATTAAGTACGCTGCACTTGCTGGTGATGAATTTCATTTGCCATTTTTCAGACCACCCCTGCAGTTTATTTAGATCCTCCTGTAATGCATTTGCATCCTGCCCTGAATTAATCTGCCGCCCTATTTTGGTGTCATCCGTAAACTTGCTTATGTCACTGCTGATCCCAGTATCTAGATCGTTTATGTAGATTATGAACAAGAGTGGGCCTAGTACTGACCCCTGGGGAACCCCACTGGTTACACGGCCCCACTCAGATTTAACACCATCTACGCTGACCCTCTGCGTTCTATCGGTGAGCCATGATTTTATCCAATTTAAAACTTTCCCCTCGATACCATGAGCCTTAATTTTTCTCAGAAGCCTCTGATGCGGTACTCTGTCAAATGCTTTGCTAAAGTCTAAATAAATAACATCGTAATTTTCGTCATTATCTACTACCTCGATGAATCGGCTGCTTGTCCAATTAACCAGTCCGTTCACACATATTTATATTTGGGTTTTAAGTAACGAAACCCAAACGGTAGTTCCTTTGTTTTATTATAAAAGGTTGTATATATAATTCCTGAGTGTATATCAACCGTAAGTCTCACTGTCTAGGAGTGAATGAGAAAGGGACGGCGTTTATGTATGATAAACGTTAGGTCACGTCCTTACGATATGACTTGAGGTGAGCTACTGAAGCTTAGGGGCATCGCAGTGCGTGCTTACAGGAATGCTGAGCTATGGGTCTCGCCCTCTTGGGTAAGTTGCCCGCTCACGTGTCCATCTCATGTCTTACTCATAGACAGTGGAAAGTTACAGGGTGGTGAATCTGAATATAATATCAGATGTATTGACCCATTTATATAATACATTCTGTTGATGAGACAGGGGCCTATTACATCGCTCGGTCACCTACCAGCCGAGCTCCGTGAGGCCTAAATAACTCACAGAGTACAGTACATCCTAGACAACCCTAACCATGTTATAAACAGATATGTAGACACTAAGCTGGGGAAATTACTGTAGGGGTATTCTCTACTCCAGGGGACCTAGACTTTTGTGTCGTACGGGTTAGTATGTTATGAACAATGTTGAATTTGGATGATACTGCCCGGTAATAACAGAACAGGAACATTATTGCCAGAATTAACAGAATAGAGGGAATCGTAAGACTTGGTAGTGCAAATTCCCGTGACAGGTAAAATGGCAAGTTATTATTCAAATCAGCAAAATGTGTCTCGTTCAAGAAAGCTAACACTTTTAATTTCTCTGATACTATTTGAATATCCTTGATAGTGAAATTCATTATAGGAAGTGGAATTAAAGCAGACTTGAGTTTTCGAATTAACGCAAAATGCTGATGAGTAGGCAAGGTCCGTAATGTACTACAAGTGATTTCACAAAAATCAGGAGCCTTGTAATGCCCTTTCACAACTAGCTACTTAACACCATTTTGGCATTTTAAAATTACAGTAGTGAGATTTGGAAAGAACAAATACTGCACATTGTGAAGGTGAGCGTGGAACACAGTCTTTAGACTAACTGGCCTATAACTGCATTGTGCTAACGCTGTGCGTACATTTGGTTGTATGACTGCCAATTCACATATTCCATCTGCAGCAGGAATAAATGCAAACAATGTAGGCTGGACATACGTGTAGGTGTAGATAAGACGACTTACACCGTGACAGTACCTCAGAATCCTATATTGATAACAATGAATATTCTTCATCTACTAAGAAAAGTTCTTTAGGCCTATCTAGGGTATACAGTGTGTCGTTCACAAACCAGGGGAAGGGTTCTAAATGCCATGCATTAAACTCATGTTGCCCTCGCATAGGAATGTGGATCAGAATTGCATTGTGCGTGAGGGTTGACTCCAACAGTGGGTAATGATATTGAACCTCATTGTCATTGAAAATCGGAGTTAAATGATACTGCAACTTGGCTATTTTTAAAGCTTCAAGAAGCGTCTGCACAGGCACAAGCTTCGCGTCCACACGTCCTATCCCGGCATCTACAATGCTGTCTATTAGTTCATTTTTAGAGGTTACAATTTTATGAACTGAAATTTCAGCAGCATGCAAATATTCTGTGAAGTAAAGGAGCCATTCTAACGTCGGGATTGCTTTCTGTAACCTAGTAACAATCCTCGAAACTTGGTTAGACTCCATTATGATTGCATTAACCTTTGATTCTAGAGCAGTAATCGCGTGAAAGGTTTGAGAAATAACACGATTCTGTTGAGATACAGCTTGAACGACAACGTTCATGAAACTATTGTCGAATTCATCGAAGCTGTGCTGAGACCATGAAGAATGTCCAATGCTGATTGTAGTTGGCCGTCGACGTTTTCCATCTGACGCGAAAGTACGAGTTAACTTCTACTCGCAGAACGTAGTTTCATACAATAGTCATTTGGGACATTTTGCTTCTGAACAGTCTGTAAGGATGTATCAATCACATTATCATCAACTTGAGGTAAGACATTTATCTGGGTCTTCTTCAGACGATCTGCGTGCACGACATCTGCGATCTGTGCATTAGGCTTCCATATTTTGAATTCGTTGCCTGCTTCTTTTGAGATTATGCGGAATGTACCAGAAAATTTCGCCGAAAGTTTGGAGTTCCTTTCAGGTACCTGTAACATAACAGCGTCCCCAACGTTCAGTGCGATAGGTTTAGCATGTTTATGCTGTTTGATGATCATTTCGGCGCGTGACGCCGCTAGCTGTGATCGTACTTGGTTATGAATTTCTGTAAAGACACGAATTTGTTTTGCCGCAAAATCATCCGTGTTATATACCGGGTATGGCGCCTCTGTAAGGATGTCGTAAGGCAGACGTTTATCTGTACCATAGACAATATAGTAGGGTGTTTTGCCCGTAGAGCTATTAACTGACCCATTAATCGACGCTGCAACCTGCGGTAACCAATCCTCCCATGCGTATTGAAAACCATTAACGATTGGACGCAGTATTTCTAGGATTTTACGATTGGTTCTTTCAACAAGGCCATTAGCCTGTGGATGATAAGCTGTCACAAAAGTTTGTTTAATTCCATATTGTAAACATATATGCTCTATTAGCTCATTCTTGAACTCTGTTCCATTATCAGAGAGTAGAACTTTAGGCGTAGTATATGGACATATGAGATTCATCACTAATGCATAGGCTACTGCTTCGGCCGTTTTGCTTTTTAGTGGGACCAAGACCACGAACCTGGAAAAATGATCCACACACACTAAGACGTATCCTGATCCCTGATGACTCATTGGGAGTTGTAACACATCAACAGCGACTGTGTCAAACGGACGGTCTGGTGTAGGATATTGTAGAATCGGGGCAGGTGATCCTGTCGATCTTTTATGTTGAGCACATGCCAAACAATTAGCTATGTGTAATTCTATGTCTTTCTTCATAGTGTTCCAGAAATACTTCTTTCGTAAATCCGCTAAGCATTTATCACGACCTTGGTGACCTGCTTGTGGGACATCGTGGAACAATGTCATTACTGCTTTGCGCAACGTGTCAGGTACGACTATTTGAGACACATTACCCTCAGGAGATTTTCTCGTCCTATTGAGTATGTTATGTCGTAATTCAAACTGACTTAAGGGAAGAAATAACTTGGGGAGTTTAACATCCTCGCCCGATTCGAGAGCAAAAATAACAGCTGACCAATATGGGTCGCGTCGTTGCTCATCTTCCAGCTGCGAAAGAGTGAATGATGATACAGGCATAACTGGTGCTATATTTCTTGACAGAGCGTCGGCGACAACATTCGCCCTCCCAGGTAAATACCTAAATTCGGGGTCAAACTCTTGAATTGTCAGATACCAGCGTGCTAATCTGCCTGATATGTTTCTGCCATGGAACAGTTCGGTGACTGCCGCATGATCAGTAAAAACAGTTATCTTGTAGCCAAAGATAATGTCCTTGAACTTCTTAAGTGCCCACACAACGGCTAACGTTTCTAAATGCGTCGCCGAATAACGTGTTTCAGCATCGATTAGTTTGCGACTTGCAAATGCTAT